ACGCTGGCTGGGTGAGCACTTTCCTGGTAGAGGATCGCTCAGGCAGGAGTGTTGAGATCTCGGCTCCCCACACACCCCGGAAACCAGTGCTCACGGCAGAAAGCTCTGGGAAACGGTGCGTGCGTTGAGAGGTTGAGAGCTGACGCTGGGGTGGAGTGAGGGAGGGGCCGCCGCTGTGGTTCTTCAGCCTGGCTCGTTGAGTCCCCGTCCTGCACTGCCATCTCCAGGGCACAGCACTGTTCTCCGATCAAAGGTGCAGCACGTTTGGCTGGGAAACGCAAAACCACCCGCATCATCAGGGCTTTTGAGCCCAGAAAGGTCGGTGAGCTAAAGACTCATCCACTCATCATTACTCTGTGCCAGGTCCCACTGCCCCTGTCCTGCACTGTAAGCTGGCCAGAGCACAGGGGGAAGTCAGGGAGTGCCCTTCCAGCCCCAACCCAGAATACAGATTCTGAGTCAGTAGACAGGGTTGGGGCTGAGAGGCTGCCTTGTTGGCAAAACCCAGACGCTGAGGCTGTCATTAATCCCTGATATTCAAAATGCTGTCCAAGGGCCAGAAACATCAGCGACACCTAGATTTTTGCTACTCCGGGTACAGTCCTTATCCTCTGAGATCAGCATGCCTAAGGAGCTTGTTAAAAATTCAGAGCCCTTCCCCACCAGCCTCTATCTTCATTGCTGTGAAGTCTGCCTAAGATCTGCTGTGAGGACAAAGTTGGTGTCTATAAAGTGTCCAGCGTGTCACAGGGGCTCAACGAGTGACAGCTGGAGGCACCGAAAGCTAAGTGAACCCTGAGCCAAATTCAGAGATTCATTCCCAGGATTTATGAAGCTTTCCTGTGGGCTCAGACCAGGCTGGATTCTGCAGATGCAGCTTTGAATGAGACAAACAAGGCTTTGAGAGAGGCAGACAATGAGCCATCGTCTGAGGCGGTACCAAGGACAGTGGAGACAGGAAAACAGGACCAGGAAGCAGACTGTGTGTTTCTCTAAGGTGGGATTGCTCCGCAAGGCGTCTCCTAGGAGACCACTGAGCCAAAACTAGGTGCTGAAAAGATTAATCCTGAAGCATGCCAAGAAGAGGCTGATAGGAGAAGCCCGGGAGGCCCCATCCACTCCACCCCACTCCCCAGCTCTGCTGTGGAACCTGGGCCACCTCACTGCACCTCCAAATAATGGTTCCTCCATCTATAAAAGAGCTATGATCATCTGCAATGTGATTTTAAAATCTGAAAACCTTTGATGCTCCGCCATTTGAGAGGTAGGGGTCTATGTCCCTTCTCCTTGAATCAGTTTCTGTTTGTTCCAACCAACAAAGTATGACACAAGTGAGACTTGTGTGGCTTTTGAGGCTAAGTTTAAAAGGCCATGTAGTTTCCGCCTGGTCTTTTGGGAGCCTGCAGACAAGAAACCCAGCTCTGGACCCTGAAAGCCTGATGCTGAAGAACCACAGGTGGGTACTCCTGGCAACAGCACCATCTGAGCTCCCAGCCCACAGCCTGCTTCACCTGCCAGCCATGCCAATCAGCCAACTTGGACATCCAGCCCAGTCCATCCCTTCAGCAGCCCACAGTTCCCACCAACATCGAGTGAGACCCCAGACAAGAACCACCTAGCTGAGCCCTAAATGAACTCCTGACCCATAGAAATTAGAGAGAAATAAAATGATTACTGTGTTTGAGAGTAATTTTTTCCATAATTACAGCAAGGGGAGCACCCATCTCTCTGCCTTTATTTCATAAATCTCTCCCTTACACACATGCTCCAACCACCTGGTCTTTCTCTGTTCTTAAACACTGAAGTGGCTCAGGCCCAGGGCTTTGCACTGGCTGTATTTGCTCTTTCTCTCTCCAGGGGAACGTCTCTCCCCCTCCACCCCATCCAATCTTCATGGTCTGCTCCTTATCCCCTAGGTCTCACCGCACATGGTCAGTCTTCCCCACAGTTTTCAGGATCACCTGACCCAGATTAGGTCCCTAGTCGCTACCACATCACCTTCTTTTTACAGCACTTGCAATCTAGTGTTTTCCCTTCTGTTTATTGACCATGCCCTCTGCCTGAATATCCAGGCGTGAGGGGAGAGTCATTACCTGCTCTGATCATCTTTGTATCCCCTTCTCTTTATACAAGCAGCATAAAGTAAGCATAGACACATGTTTATTATGTAAATGGACACATGAGAAGGAAACCACCAGGTCCAGAAGAGAGGAGACAGGAAGGCACTGCTATCACAAAATGGTAAGAAGCCTTGAGGCTGGCTGGGGCTGTAGGAGTTCAAGAGCATCAGAAAAAGGTTGTGGCCTTTTGGAACATGAAAACAGAGTCAGGCTCATGGGGCTGGACGTGATAAAATATACTCAACAAAATTTCCCATTTTTAAGTATCCAGTTCAGCGACATTAAGTACATTAACTTTGGGGTGCAGCCTTCACCACCACTCATCTCCAGAACTCTTCATCTTGCAAAACTGAAACTGTCTCCATTGAAAACTAACTCCCCCCTGCCCAGCTGCTCAGCCTGTGATAACCGCCATTCTACTTTCCGTCTCTACAAATCTGCCTATTCTAGATCTGATAGCGGAGGAATCATAGTATTTTTGTCTTTCTGTGCACAACGTCTTCCAGCTCCGTCCATGTTACAGAACACATAGCATTATAATAAAGCACTTCACTGCTTTTTATGGCTCAATAGTAGTCCACTGAGTGTAAATACCACTTGTTCACCATTCATCAGCACAGAGGGCCTGCATGCTTCCAGGGACTGTTTAGCAGCCAGGTGGAGTCCAGCCAGGGCAGGCCGGTGTTTATTTAACCTTCACCCACCCATCTCAGCCGCACTTCAACTCGAGGATCACGGCCCGGGGCACACCTCCTGGAAGCGCCGAGGAGGAGCAGGGCCTGGCAGGTGCAGGGAGGTCCCGGCTGAGGAGGGGCAGGGCGGGGCAGGGTACGGAAGGGCTGGGGCTGGGCTGCGGCCGCCCCGCCCAGACTTCCCGACCGCTGCCCGCCCCTTCCCGGCCCCAAGCCCCCGCCCCAGCGCCGCGGCCCGCCCCGCCGCCGCCGCCGCGCAAGCGCAGGAGAAGGCGGAAGGTGCTCTGCGCGGAAGGCTCCGTTCCCCCGGGTGCGAATCCGTCGGTCCGGGGTTTTGGTCCCGCCGGGAGCTCTGTTTATAAACACACCGCGCGGCCACTGGCGAGGGGTAACCCTAAAGGTAGCGGGGTCGGAGGTCAAAGGTGAGCGGGGACTCCCGCAGAGCCCGAGCTCTTCCTCCTCGCTGGTGACGGCCCGCCGGCATAGCCCGCGGAGCGGCAGTACCACGGCCCGGGGTGGCTGGGGGCGCCACGTGGTGCGCACGTGGTCCCGTCTGGGCGCAGCTGCCGCCCCTTCCGCGGAGCGCCCCCTGGCGGGGGCCGAAGCGCCGAGCTGCGCAGTGCGGCTGCGCACCACGCGTCCTGACGCCCCTTCCGGTCTGCTCGGGAGCCGGGAGGGTCGTTACGTCCCGCGTCCCCATGACGGCAGCGCGTCAGCCGGCCCCAGGGTCCAGGCCCGGGTCGGGGGCGGCGAGGCGGCGTGGCCCGCTCAAGGTCACGCGTTCCGGCGGGCGCGGCCGCGTTAGCGCGGAAGCTCGGTGGCCCCGCGGGAGGCGGGGAGAGGCCCCCGAGGTCCACGTGGGCCCGGCCCCGCGCCGCGGCAGCTCTGGCGCTCGGGAGCTAGCGGAGCTGCATTGTCTGGGCAGGGCCCCGGGCCCTCTGCCCCCTCCCTGCCTGAGGGTCCGTGCCTTGAAGGCTGCTGGTGTTTCGGTGCTCAGTGCATATTTAAGCCTTTAAACGGGCGGTGAGTCAAGGAATTATTAAAATAGCCAAGAAGTGATGTTTCCGGTTTAACACATCACTTATTCTATAGCTTTTATTTATGCGGTTCTGTGTGAAAGCACTGTTGGGTGCATGCCAGCTGATGGCAGTTGGTCTTGTCCTTTAACTTCAAGGTTTGGAGGAGTTTTACAAAGAGTAAAAACCAAACTACCCCCAGACCCACCCACCCCCACCCCCACCCCCACCCCCCATTTTACACTCATTTCCCATTTAAAGACTCACAATTGCATTGTCACTGCTGGTTAGACTGTTGGGTTAGTACTCTTGAGTTTACACACACTTCAGCAACATGTTTTAAATACCTACTATGTGCCAGACACTGCTCCAGGCTTTAGGTACCTAGTCACACCTACACAAGGGGAAATCCAAAGGCCTTTGTTTAAAAGGGAAGGCAGGAAGTACTTATCCTAGAGATCAGGCTGGTAGCACAGGTTTAACAATTGACTGGGGGGCATGGTGCATGTATACATAGTACATTTATTATAAATTTTACTGATAAAAGGTATGTGCAGCACACTCTATGGTAAAATGCTCTTGTGAATCCCAGATGCTTTTGTGATTATCAGAAACTGCTTTTGCTTATTTTTGCTGAATTCCTATATCCATAGCCAACTTACAGTTGAAATTCAATTGAAATCTGTCTAATTGATTTGCTTCCCAATGCACTACTTCCTAAAAAAAATGTTTTGTCATTAAATATATGATATGAAGGTGGCTTTGAGAGTACATGAGTGGGTAAAACAGAAATCAGAACAAAAAGACATAGTTAAGAACTTTATTCATCAATAGGTGAACAGCTTCTTTGCTGTATTGAGTCATAGTTTTCCTGTCCCTGATGACTATTTCCTCAATATTTTGTGCTATTCACAATGCAGTGGCTACATAGCCATTAATTAAACATTTAGTTTAACTGCATTGTTAGTTTTCTCCATTACTTTCTTAAGTCTAGACTAAGGACTGCAAGTGTTTTCTTTGAAGGGTCAAATAGTGATTGTTTTAAGATTTTCTGCATACCTGTGCTCTCTAGCATGTAGTCTTTGTTTTGTTTTTTTTTACCATCCTTCTTAGGCCAAATCTAGACTTCATGTTCTGAATTGTGACATTTTCACATTTCCTCAGTAGTTCTCTGATGGCTTATTGCAAGCTACCAGCATGGAGTGTCTGAACCCCATGCAATATCTGAACCTAGGTGAAATATCTGAACATGAATGTATATCCCAACATACTATACAACTGTCCTCACTCCATAGCTGGTTCTACACATGAAGTAGGTGCGAGTTAGATCCTAGTGCTTTTAGTTCAGTTCCAACATTCCTACCTGCCTGTGTAGCTCAACGAGTATCCATTTCCTTGTCTTTAAAATGAAGGTGGCAGCAGGACCTGCCTCAAGGGACAGAGTTTGGTGAGACAACCATTTTCAGTGGACTATATTAAGTGACTGACTCCCGCTTTACCTTCACCCATTATTGAGCTGTCAAGGGGCGGGGCACCTAATGCTGCTCCAGAGTGGGCCTGGATGTGTCTGTACTTCCCACAGTGACCCACCAATGAGTGAAGGATTTAGAAATCCAAGTCAGTCACCAACCACCCACCATTCCCCAAGCTGTTCAGGAAAGATCAGACATCCCATTTGAAGGGGCATTTGGTAGGAAATTCTAGAAAAGGATCCCTAGTTAATAAGATAGAACCACACAAGAAGATGGCTTTTCCTTTCCAGATGCCTCTCCAGAGAGAGATGGGCTGAGGGTGACCAGAGTCAAGTGGCCACTGGGCCTCCAGGCTGGCACAGGAGGAAGGCGTAGCCACTCATGATCAACAGCTGGAGCCATGGGGTCAACGCACACCAAGATTTCACTTACTGCAGGTCCCAGTGTTTTGTGCTCACCTATTTCAGCACAGCTTAAACCATTGTGAGATGGGTTTCTGGTCCTTGATGGGCTGGACTTGCATCCTGGTCAGTTTACTACGGAAAGCAGTGTCTCTTAGCCAGGGACACTGGTGTTGGGTTTCTGTGTTCAAATTTCTGCTTGGAGTTGAGCAAGACAGGACTGGCACAGTGGCTGACATTTTATGGTGGCTAAATGGCGCTCCCACCTCCTGGAGGCTTTCCAGCTATTTGATCACATCATTTTCAGAACAGCCGTGGGGGACAGGTTCTTCCACCAACCATGTCTTAGCCTGGGTCACAGACTGGGGCCTAAACAATGAACATTTCTCACAGTCTGGAGGCTAGAGGTCTCCTTGGCCTGTGGGTGATTTTCTTTTCCCTGTGTCCTCATTTTACTTTGATCACCGCTTTAAAGAGCCTATGTCCAAGAGTTAGAACTGCAACATAATGAACTTGAAAGGGAAACAATTCAGCCTTAACAAATCCCCATTTGAGGACAGTAAAGCCAAGACAGGCCGCATGTCTTATAAGAGGCCACCTGATTTATCAGGAGTAGACCAGGGCTGGTACCTATGTAGCCTTACTCCCTGTTCTAGGTTGAACATCTGTTCCCCCCAATCCCCCCAATATTTATGTATTGAAACCTAATCCCCAATGTGATGGTATTTGGAGGTGGGTCTTCGGGAAATAATTAGATTATGAGGGTGAAGCCCTCATGAATGGGATTACTGTCCTTATAAGAAGACCCAAGATTGCTGTCTCTCTCTTTGATCCTCCCTCTTCCTATCCTTCTCCCCACTTCCTTGCCACTTGAGGACAGAGAAGGCAGCCCTCTGCAAACCAGAAAGTAGGCCCTGGCTTACTTGATCTGCCCACACACCCACCTTGAACTTCCCAGCCTCCAGAACTGTGAGAAATGCCATTTGTTGTTTAAGCCTCCAGCCCATAGTATCTCTGTTGTAGCAGGCTGAGCTGATAAAGACACCACCCCACACTGCTCTGTGGCCTCTGACACTTGTCATGAAACGCTTAGGTGCTGCGGTGACATCATTGTCAGCCATGTATTATTTGCTCTCAGTTTTGCACCTGCTAACACATTCCGAGCCTAGCAAATGCACCATGCTGCAGCCGAGCACCTGACTTTTGAATTTGCACAGTGCTCTACTGGGCACTCAGAATTGTTAAGGGAATGCAGGAAAGAGGCCTGGCCCTGAGGAATGATCCTCACCATGTGACCAGAACACTTTCTAATCTTCCCCCCCACCCCATTCAACCTCAGGGACAAATGCAGCCCAAGGAAGCTTGAAACCAACGTGGCATCCACTGGGCGATGGTTTCTGGGCATGGACCTACCGGCCATCACTTTCCTCATGATCCTGTATCCAATCACCATCTCAGTTCCCAAGCCTACCCTCAGTTCTGCTGTGGTCACAGGAGCCAACTCAGCATGCCCAGAGGCCATCAAGGCTGGCTGGGAACTGTCATGATCCACAGGCCTGCATTCTTCTCCTGCCTGGGGGCTCAGCCACCTCCACTCCCTGCACCCTTATTCCAGAAGGGAATGCCCCTTGTTTCTTTACTCTGTACTGGAGTAAAACAAAACAAGGGTCCTGGAGCCCTAGCCCCTGCTCAAGCCCTTTTCGGTTTGAGTCACCCCTTTGCCTTCCTAACACAGAACCACCCCAGAGGAGAAAGCTTCTGCTAAGCACACTGCTCAGCTTCCAGACCAGCTCATGTCCAAAGCTTGGCCTGGCAAGGACGACACTGAGCAGGCATGAGAACTGGATTCCAAGCCGGCAGCCCCTCATGGCTTTATCCCGCTCTGTGAACAAAGGCCGGAGGCCCTGGGAGCTCGCGCTGCTGCTCTATTGAAGTCTCGAGGTGGTTCCCTATGAATCACTCCCTTTGGTGCCTCAGAGGCCAAAAGAAAAAAAAGAGTCAAACAAAACCTCTTTTCTAAGCAGGAAGAGCTTTCCAGAGGCCTGAGCAAAAGATCTCCCACCCCTCTCCCCAACATAACACTAACAAGATGCTTGGATCTCCCAGACTCACAAACAAACAAGACTGGCTGCCTGGCTGCTTGGAGAGGGGGGTTTGGAATGTGCCCAGTTGTGCTGTGTGCTCTGAAAGGCTCCATGCAGGAGGCAGGGCAGGGAATGAGGGGGCTGCCTGCACACAGCCCCTTCCTTGTTTGATGTAGAAACCAAAAAGAGCCAATTAAGTGCTGTTTTGTGGTGGTGTTTTTTTGTGTTTTTTTTTTTAAAAGCAAATACATACTAGGAGGATGGGAGAGAAAAAATCCGATCTCTTTGCTTCTCAGACTTAACCTTGAAACTCAGTACTTTCATCTCTTCCCCTCTCCCCTGGTTGCCATTCTGCATTAACCAATAACGTTGCACTATTCATGAATTTGTTTGGCTTGTGTTTTCAAACAGAAGACAGACCAAGACACCAAGCCATCATTTCCCCAAAGTCTTTATCTCTCTGGGGACCAGGCCCGTGATATCTGGGCCTGCATTTGGATCGTCCCATTGCTGAGAAGTGGCCTTTCTGTCCAGATGCAGTACATGAGGAGCAACAGTTCTGGGCTTTTATACCTTTGAGTGGAAGTGTGTTCTTCTTCATAAAATTTTCAGAGATATAAAGGAAAGTGGAAAAAACTGACTTGAAGAGCGTTCAAGTGCCATCCTTGCACACTGGGGGACAGAAATCCTTCCAAAGCCAGTGCACAGCATTGGCTTGGGAAATCAGGTGACTAAAGATACTGCAATTTACTGGCCTAACAAGGGCGTGCTTTGAGTACAGCAGTGACTCTCAAGTGCACATAGTGCAAACTACAGGAAGGAAGAGGGGCCAGGAGGAAAGTCTTTACTGAATGAGAGGTTGTCAGTCAACAGCATGGTGATACTGTCATAACCACAGTGCAATTACAGAAGGAACATATTATACATTTAGGAATTACTGACACAAATGGTGGGTTGTATTATTGTTCCTAGTCGCTCTCTACCTTGTAGTAAGATTATCCCCATGGTGTGCCAAGTAACTTTGCATGCCTCCCAGTAGAACACATGGCATGGTCATCCCACCCCCTATAATTAGGGGCCTGGCCACATTACTTGTCCTGGCCCATGGACTATGGGTAGAAGCCCATCTGGGCTAAGTCCACGCTGAGGCTCAGGAAGCACAGCAAGTTCCCTCCAGCCCCTTTGCAGCTCTGCCATACCTGATAAGAAAAATTCATCCTGAGTTGCTACTGGTCCAAACAGAATGAAGAGACTGATCCCAGTCTGTACCCTGGAACCAGTCCTTGGTACTTATATTTTAAATCACTAAAGAATGTTTATTATTTAGCAGGCTGAGAGGGGAGCACATTTCACATTTGAATATTGGCAACCAATTCCATGTTTTGAAACCCAGTATGTGTGTTGGGGGGGTGCATCAAACAGGTAGGGGGATTGGCATGGCCCTTGGCCTCCGTTGCGCCACCTCTGGCTTAGTTCAGCCCTCCTCATTTCCTTTTGAATTATGAAAAATATGGGTTAATCCCATCTTGTTTTGCCACAAGAGCCTGAGGTTAGGGGTGAGGAGAGGCCTCATAGTCTCAGTCATGTCACAGAAGTGTGCTGGGATGTATGTCTCCTGGGATAGTCCCATACTCTCTAGCCTATTTCCCATCTCCAAAGGACCTCTGACACCTGGGACACGGCAGTGTCACAATCAGACTGAGGACCTGGGTGTGCATATCCAGACAACCCACAGCCAGCTGTGGGCTCCATCTCTCCACGGTGGACTTTTGGGCCCTGCTTCCATCCCTCAGTGCTCCTAGGTCCTAGCTAGCTTTTCAAAAATACTAGGTTGTGGGCAAAATAGCTCACATTTTATGTCAATTTGGCTGGGTCACAATGCCCAGATAACTGGTCAGACATTATTCTGGGCATTTCTCTGAGGGGGTTTTTGGATGAATTAACATTTAAATCAGTGGACTTTGAGTGCAGTTGACTGCCCTCCCTAATGTGGAAGACCCGATTACAATGAAAGTGTGCAGCCTCCCCCAAGTGAAACAGAACAGGAGCACATTAGCCCTTCCTGTTCTCCTGGCTCCTGGCCCACGCTGGAGAATCACGAGCCAATTCCTTATAATAAATCTCTCAGTCACATCTCACTAGATGTTAGGGATTTGTCTGAGAAGACATCATCAGGTAATTTCATCATTGTGCAAATGTCACAGTGTACAGTCACAACACATAGGTGGTACAGCTTACTACACACCTAAGCTGCACAGTACAGCTGTGGGGACGCCCTTATGTGTGTTCAGTCATTGGCAGAAACATCCCTGAGCGATGCCTAAATGTGGGTACCCGGTAGGCATCTACCATCGTTAGATGTTAGTTCTGGAGAGCCCTGACTCATCTGTTAGGACTTTGGCTTTTTCTCTGTTTTTCCAAATGCTCTGTCCAAGCATCCAGACACATTCCAGTGTCACCTTGAACACCACGTGTCCTTGGAGGCTGAGCACAGAAACCTGTGCATGCATTGCTGGGCCCATGCTAAGCACCAGGTTCTGTCAAGCAAGAATCATTTTCCCCTCCCACAGATGACAACCCTGAGGCTGCCAGGAGCATGCAACTGCCCTGTGCTCACAAGGACAGCCACTTAGAGTGGAACCAGGATTTAAACTTAGGTCAGTCTTGCTCTGAAATTTATCAATGCCCATGTTCTTTCCCCTGGACTTGGTCTCTTGAATAATTAAGAGCACACATTTGCAGGAGCCTATTTCCCATGGAGCACAGTCTTACAGTAGACGATCGGTTCAGTGTTTCAGCCCAAGAAGTCAGATACTCTTCTTTCAACGAAAGTAAACCTGAGAGACAAATCGTTTTACTTGACCTGTAATCGGCAATGTCTACTCGTTCTTTGAAGGTTAACAGAGTTAAATACCTGGAACTTCACCTACATGAGGTGTGTGGTTGGCCTAGCCTCATATGCACTGTAGTCAAATAGGGAAAATCCTGCCAGGACAGCTGAAATACCCTGGAGCTTTGCTATTGTGAGATTTCTTTTTGTATTTAATAAGAGAATGATTGTATTAATGGCGCTGCCATACTTCCTAAGGATCCACCACACCAAGTAAGGTGAGAATTTAAGGTGCAGCTGAGGACCCGTGCACTGTTATTCCCCAGGAAGTGCTCAGACCTATAAAGACTGGTCCTTGAAGAAAAAAAAAATAGTACTAAGAACTGGAAAGTTTCCTATTTTGCTTTATGATTTCCAGCACAAATCAATGCACAGGAGATTTTCCTCTCACCTCATCTTCAACACAGTCTTTTACTTTTCCCAAAATGAAGAGGTTAGAAGCATGGCCTAAGTCAAAATGAGCCAATGAGAGCAAGGTTGGTGCTTAGGTGCTCAACTCACCCCCAATTCCTGGGACTGGCCTTTCAAAGTTTTCAAAGTGTTTTGCAAAGAATTATTCCTAATGAACGCACTGTGCATTTATTTAAGCTGATATCAACTAAGGGTTTTTAAAAAAAAAACATGGGGAAATACTCTGTAGAGTGGCTGCAAAAAGCAAGATAGGAGACTGAGTGTGTGTGTGTGTTTTGAAAGACAGGCACCAAACTATTGAAAGTAGTCCATGCTGAGCCCATGCCTGCAATGAGTTTCATATATATACCTCTGTGTGTGTGTGTATGTGTGTGTATATATTCCTAATTTTCTATAATGAACATATGTTGCATTTCCAACCAGATGTGTCATTTTTTTAATGAAATTAAATAGAAACAGATAACTAATATTCTCTCCCATATGCTACCTTTTTTGATGATTGATTTCTGTGGTCCATTTAAGTTCCTTTATTTCAACTCTTGCTATGCCTGCTTGTTGCTTGGTAACGATCGTTGGTAATGAGGCCTTTTTCTCCTTGTGCTCCTTAGTAATTGCAGAGTCATCCGGTGTGAAATGATTTCAGACCAGGGCAATAAATGAAACTACCTGACCTTCTCGATGATCACACCATCCACCTTACAAGACGTGAGTGCTGCTGCCAACTTCCCAAAACATTAAGTGTAATCAATGTACTAGAAAGAATAACACCTTAAAGATTCATGATTCCTGGGTTTTGCTTTCATGCCCCGCTGTGAAAATATCTCCTTCTACCTGTCTCCTCAGTGCTGCTGGCCCCTGTGCTGTGTTGTAGCAAAGGCATCTAAGTTGCCCACCTAGCAGCCCCCTCCCCATTCCTCTCTTTTCTGCCAAAAGAACCTAGATTTTGTCCCAGTACCCCCTTCCTACCAGCTCCAGGTGAGGTGGAGTTTGGTTCTTCAGAGAGAACCATAATCAGGCGCAGAAAAGCAAGGTGGCCTCAAATCCCTCACGAGGAAGTGGTCTAAACTTGGGCTTGTGGTGTCCTGTGGCCAATGAGATATGAGGGGAAGTGGACCCTGGGTGGGGAGCACCTTAGGAAAGTGTTTTGTTCCTAAGTGACCCTGGTTTGTGAAGATGGGGGTGCCTGAGTCCCCTCCAGCCATCATAAAACCATGAATTGATACACCAAGGACAGAAGAGCCAAATGATAACAGAAACCGAGTTGCTAGTGGCATATCTGGACTAACCCACTCTAGGACCACCCTTTGTCCTAAGTTCTTCCATGTGAGATCATAAATCCCTGCAGTATCAGAACTCTGTTATTTTCTGTTGTTTGCAACAAAGCCTTACCACTGAGTCATGTGGATGGTAAGTGTTTGCATTCTATGAACCCCTGGTCTCCCTCTACGTACTGGGTCATCCAGGAAACTGAGGGCCCCATTTTACCTCAAAAGTGTTCCAGTTTCAGATGATCTGTTATGTGCTGTTTGTTACAGATTGAGTTGTCTCCCTGAAAATTCACGTGCTGGAGCCCTAACCTTAGCATTTCAGAATGTGACCTCATTTGGAAATAGCATCATTGAAAGTGGTGTGTTTAGTTAAAATGAAGCCATGCTGGAGTCGAGGTATCCCTTAGGACTAATGTCCTCATGACATGGGGAAATCTGAAAGTAAAAGTGCAAGCAGGGAGAAGGCCAGGGGAAGATGTTTATACCTTTCAGACTGGCAAAAATTAAGGCGTCTGAGCCAAGGATGGCAAAGATGCGGCACGATGGGAACTCTAATGCACTGTGGGTAGAAGTGCAGACTGGTACAACAACTTTGGAAAATAGTTTGATGTTATCTAAAAAAATTAGAACTTTCTACAGTCTGTGACTCAGAAATCTGCCTCTAGGTAAATAACCTAGCGTAGATGGCTCTCAAACTTTCTCATGCATCAGAAACTGCTGAAGGCCCTCTAGGGCCCACTCCCAGAATGTGAGTCCATAGGTCTCCAGAATCTGCTTTTTTTTTTCCTTCATTTTTGCATGGAAGAACTGGGGTGTAGGCCAGAGATGCAGGGGATGAGAGGGTTCACCAGAGACAGAGTGGGGAGCAGAACAGGCAGACTAACAAAATACACTGCTGAGGGGAGCTGTGGGTGAGACAGGAGAGATCTGATGAACCATGGCAGGGGATCAAACTCAGGCCATAGTGGTGACAGCGCTGAGACTTAACCCCTAAGCCACCAGGGAGGCCCTAGAATCTGCTTTTCTAACAAGTTCTCAGATAATGTGATGCTGCTAGTCTGGAGACCACACTTTGAAAACCAGCCAAAGAAGCATGCTCATGTACTGCAGGAAGGATGTACAAGAACTGTTTTTAAAGTAATAGCTAAACAGTTGAGTGAACACTCAACAGTTGCGTGAATAAAGTAGGGCAGATTTACACAACAGACTATTAAAGAGTTTTGGAAATGAATGAACCGCCACCACCTGCAGAATATGGGTGCATCTCCCAAACAATTTGAATGTAAAAATTCAAACACACAAGACCAGAAATAGTATAATTCTGAAAGCTTCTTATTTATTTATTTTTATTTATTTATACAAGCACTGGGTACAGTCAGAAGCGCGGGAGGGTGAGAGAATTCACCAGAGCCAGAGTGGGGAGCAGAGCAGGCAGAAGGACCGAAGTACACTGCTGAGGGGAGCAGCGGGCGGCAGGAGAGGTCTGCGCGCCATGTGGGACCCTCCTCCGGTGGCTGGGGAGCAGCCGGGGATCGAGCCGGCGCCGCAGAGGCTGCGGGCAGCTTTGCAACCCAGCGCTCAACCACTGCGCCACCGGGAAGGCCCATAAAAAGCTTTTAAACAGGTAAAATCAAACCACATTACTCATAGTTCCATGCAAATTTAGAGATAAAACTCTAAGAAAAAGCAAGGAAACAACACCAAATTTGGTGTTGGGAGATTTCTTCCAGGAGAAAGGGGAGTAACATGATCAAAGAAAAGGTGTACCTATCAAATTAGGGTCTCAGCTCCAAACCCCCATTCTTGCACAATGGGCTTTGTGGTGTTAGGCACACCCAATTTAGCCCACTTGCTCCTTCTTAGGGTCTTCCCATAGGTGGCATTAGACAAAGACTCCAAGGCTGGAAGAGGAAGGAGGGACTCTCTCCTTCTTGTTTCTTCCCTTGGCTCTCCACAAGTTTCCTGTTCCTGTAAGCTGTGTTCCAGCAAAGCTCCTTTACCCCCACCATCACTTCAGTCCCAGAGCAACAGCTTCTTGTCTGTTATTTTTCTAACACAGAAGCAGTTCGTTGTGACCTCTCAGAATAACCAGCCCGCCTTCTCACAAATCAGAGCTTCAGTCCCTATCAGTTTCAATAATTATAACTTCTTCACTTTACCTCCCCACTCCATCTCACCCACCCCTGGGGATAGTATCTACTTCATTTAGTTGCTACTTCCAAGATACATTTAGAGTTCTCTACATACCTTTCAATTCCCTAGTTAACTACTTTATGCCGAGTAAACAGCTCTTTATATCAAGTTTTTTCCATCAAAATTACTTGGTGGTGCTTTTCTTCACACATGTTGCTTAATAGACCCCCTGGTATGGAGCCCATACCACCTGCAGAGAGAGGGACAGGAAAGAGCAAATGGCCCTGCCCAGTTACATCTGCCCCTTTCAAAGAGGCTTCTGCTAGGATGACCAACCATCCCAGTTTGTCCTGGATAAGGAGCCTCCCAAGATGCAGGACTTTCATTGCTGCAACCAAGAAAGTCTAGGAAAACTGGGATGCATTGGTCACTGTAAGCCCTGTGACCTCTTTTGAGCACATTAATCATAGTTATATACTATGGCCACCCTGGCTCCTGGAAAGGCTGGGAAATGTCATTTTTAAAGCAGGGCTTGTTACCATCCCAGGCAAAACCAGAGTTGTGCAAATTAGAAGGAAGAACAAACAATGGCTGCAGGAGAGTCTACTAGTGGTTGGGCCCTTTTAATTCCACACTGTTAGCATTAACCACCCTACAACATCGCCGGAGATCACACAGCTGCCATCAAAGCCTGGAGCAGAAGCCAGTCTCCTGGTGATAATGTCCCTTAGGACGTTATCCTGTGCTCCTCATTCGAACAATGGTTCATTTCTGGCAGCCTGGAGAGGAGAGGAAGAGCGTTTCTATCCTTTAACACTTTAAATCTTCAATGACTAATTAAATAATGTAGGTGAGGGGCTGGGCAGTGAACCACCCTGTCCCCAAAGGAAAATGTGACGGTTTCACCTAAGCTCCATTTGTCTTTCTGTGTTTACAGTCAAGGATAGCTCTATCCAGAGTGGAGTCAGGGTTTTCAGTTCTTGGTCTTGACAGGGTTCAGGAATGCTGGCTCCTGTACTCTCTTTTTATTTAGTATATCTGGTGCTTTTCTCAGACATTATCACTCTACCCTAGGTTTATTATAATGAGCCTTTGATACCTGCATTTACTATTATTGGCACAGTAGGAAAATGCTTGCTGGGGAGGATTTCAAATCTAGGAAGTTAGCATGCTGACTTGCTTTAATTTCAACACTAGCGCTTATTGTTTATGGCATTAATAAACAAAAAGAGGGAGGCAAGATTATATCTTATAAATGTAACCTTTTGATTAACTTAAACTTTGTAAGACTCTTAGCCAACTTCTCTTTTTCCTTTGAAGCATTAATGGGTCACATTGCTTTGGAAAAGACCAGCAAGAGGTCTTGGGCAGCCGACGGAGGCCGCATGGTGCACATTTCCTCAGCATTTGTGGCCTCCTCGACCCACGTCGTGGGAGGCTGCGTCGCTGCAGTGCCTATGCAGAGCAGGAGGCTACATCTCATCTGCTTTCAATCACCCCTGCAATGTGTGTGTTGTGTGCAGTCTCTCCTACACTCCTTACAAGCGGCTTGGAGTTGGGCTGGAAGCCAGGCCCTCTCAAATTCCATTTCCTTCTCTAGGATACAAATTTCTTCATAGATGTGGGAAACTACATTTGCTTTTTCCTTTTCTCCCACTTCAAAACAGGGGCTATGTTAATGTATATTTACAGTAGCGTGAGAAACATGCAGTTCCAGCCTACAACCTCTAATTCGCTAGACCAATTTCATTTTCTTTCCTTGTGTCTGCTTCCTTTTTGATTCCTTCTCTTCCCTGCCTGAAGATTTCAAATTGAACTGTACTTGGGCCTATTTTTTATAAATTTTGGTTATAATTTTAGGTTGAACCATATCAATTGATGACTACATTTGATAATTTTTAAACAGCAGTTGCATCTGATTCTACTTAGTAAGTAGTAAATACACATGTGACCTTCATGTAGTCTGGAAATTATATGGAGGAGGGAAACTGAGGCAGCCAGCGGGATTGGGTGGCTTGCCCAAGATCTTGCAATTAGTAAGGGTTGGAACTACAATTGGAATAAGGGGATCTGTCACCAGAGCCTGTACACGCACCTTTACACCAGGCTGTTTGAACTGTAGCCCCCGGCTATAAAATGGGAATGATGATACCTCCTTCCGTTTTGGCATCAGTTTTAAAAAGTTTAAAAATGATAGAAGCAAGGTATTATGATTATTAGATACAAAGACAGTGTTCCTTAAATGGATGCAGCAGGATGTCTCCTGATACATAAATTTGTATTTTGTTTTCTCTGAATTTGTTTCTGGAAATAGCCAGGGCTTGTGTTCTCTTGTTTTGGGAGTGCTTGGATTGCAGAATTGAAAGCATAAGTTTGCAGGGAGAGAATTATGTCAAGGCCT